CCAGTACAGCATGCTATTGCCCTGACCTGTACAGAAAGCTGTTATGTGCGGTTGCTGCTTTTGGGGTATATGCGAGCAACATTATTGGCATAGATAAGACAATTGTAATTGCTTTATTCCTCGGAGAAAAAGCAGGAGAATGGAGATATAGATGCGTCGATATTTTGGCAACATGCATTTATCGAAACACAGGCAGAAGTGAATTATCTTCACCTTGTGAATTCACTTCTATTGTTTCCGTAGATGCGTGTTGCCAAAATGTCAACCCATCTATATATCCACTCTCCTGACTTTTCTCTGAGGAATCAGGCTATTAGTACTGTCTTATCTGGTCAGAACCGTCAGGGGGGGGGGGGGGGGGGTGCGGAACCTAGTCGGAACTAGGTCTGGCGATCCCACGGTGACGTCACCATTGGAGTGCCCGAGGGCAGTTACGCGTTTAATTGCAAGACGACACTGATTTTTTGACAATCGTTCTCGTGTGTTACTATGGCGTTTTTTTCAACGAAAAGGGTCTCAGGACGTTTATTGGTATGTCTCCTAGCCATACCCGAGTACAAAACAGCTGTGGCTGGTCACATATTCCAACACAAGCCCGGATCACTGTACCATGCCTTGCATCCAATAAAGGCGACTTTTACCACAACGTGGGATGATTATCATCCATACTGTCACACATCGTTTCGAACGTGCGGTCCCGATGCGGGCTGTTTCGAACCGGCGACAGGTATAGATGAAGTCAGCTGAATGCAAATGAGATATTTTAGTGTTCAACCAATACGAAGGCGATAGCAGTTGTTTTCAATGCTGAGAGAAGGACCTAGCATTTTCATAGCCAGATGACCTGGGGCGTGGGAAGGACAGATGTAATGCAATTTTACCTGGTGTCTGTAATAACAATGTCTGGAGTGCTTGTAATCACGTGTTTAGGGTCAAAAGCGATGGTTTCCACTTAGTTCATCTTCTGAGATATTGGAGATTACGTCCCCAAGCTATGGGAAGGTCTACAACAGTCATGTTTGCGCTCCCACCAGTCATGTTTGCACTCATGGTCTCTAAAACGCCACCTCTCAACGCCACAAAACAACACATGGGTGTACAGCAACTCAGCGGAGGAGTCCACCTTCTTTACACCGTTCGGATTTGATTTATACACCGTGCACAGGTCCGCATAATGTTCGTCACGCGTGAGGTAACTCACGGAATGCCCGCGCACCTGCCAGGAAGGCGCTGAGAGTAACGAACACTGTCGCCTACCTTCTCTAGGGGCCTGCTAGTGCCGCTACGCCAAAGAACCGCCGCATTGAGAACAGCCAGGTCACAGGAGACCATCTCAGCCCGGTAACATATTATCGCCACCTGTTGCCCCAGCGCAGTCAGGTCCTGAGAAGAATTTCCGCTCCAGCGCAGTCCGGTCAGATGACGGGCCTCCTCCTCCGGTGCAGCAGATGACGAGCCGCCTCCTTCAGTGTAGTAGATACAGGCCGCCTCCTCCGGTGCAGCTGGGCCACCGCTCACCTTGCAAACTGACGCCTCTTCAGCCTCTCGCGGTGCTGCAGAGCTTCCTTTTGGCGCATTCGGTTCAGAAAGCTGAGCCGGATGAACGTGCGCAGCCGAACAAACGGCGAACCACCCGGACATCCAGGGGACCTGGCTCCGCGCACAGGGTCGCTACCATCGACTCGATGACTCTCGGGCAGTGGAGAGAGTAGGTCCGGTTCGAGATGGTTGACGTGTGCAGAAGGTCGACTCCATGGTTTTGAATTTCTCCATCCACTTGGTGGTTGGGACACTCATCCCGCCCTGGCTGAGCAGGCGGGTCCACATGGTCTGGACCGGCGCCGTTTCCGCGGCAAATGCCGAAGGAGTCCCGAGGCTGGGGTCGACTTTTCGGCACTTTGCTGACAGTTAGCCGGCCGCATGGGCCATCCCATACTGCTCGGCCGAGACGCCAGTTTTGGGGTCTGTTGGTGATACAGTGGAAGGCGATGAGGTCGGTCGACTTTGGTTGGCTTCTTCCAGGAGCGACTCAACCTCTCTCACGTCGCCAGTGGTCTGATGATTCTTGACAAGATGCTCCTCCAGGAAATCAGCGAGGATAGCGTGGCCAATGGGACCACCGTCTTCTGCTCGTGATAGAGGTGCGGCCGCTGGCAGGCGCTGCGTCAGTGGGCTCAAGCCCAGCCTCAGTGCATACATCAGCGTCAGGCTGCGCACCCGACACTTAGCATCGCTGGGACTTGGATGCAGGCTCGAACCTCCTTTCCCACGCACCAACCCGAAGCACGATTCAAGGATGTCTTGGTGATGTCTCGGCCCGGCATGACGTAGGTGTCCGGGCCGAGGACAGACACAAGGTCATCCACAAGACCCCGCATGGACTTGACAGTGACGATGAATCCTTTTTGGAACGACAGTAGCAAAGTTTTCTTGCCAAACGTCAGCAACATGGCCGCCTCCATGTCAGCCAGCGCCTTGTAGTGGGCCGCACTGTCAGGGTTCATGCCACAGCAGAGCTGTTTCAAGTCTGTGAGACACTACCCGTTAAGGGCGTCGAAACCGTGGTCAAACACGCGCAGGTACTGCGCCTCTTCATGCCGGTTCGTAAAGGTGTCGACAGCTGTCACTACGGACTCGCTGAGGAGTTGGACGGCTGGGCGAACTCTCTGGCGCTGCTGTCCAGTCACCTGGAATTAAACAGAACAAATTTAGCTGATTCGTTGTCACAAAACGTTTCGTGGTTACAACACCAACTAACAAGGTCCAAACACATCGATACCATTATCATCGCATTACATCATCATTGCAGATAACTACCACATTACAACCGGGGAAAATTGTTCGTACCTCCAGATGGCTTTCCACGCCAAGCTTGGAAAGGATCCGAAACTCCTTGTCGCCGTCGATGGCCAACACACCAGTAAACAGCTGTTTATTAATTCGACCACCGTTGGGAAGGCGCAGGCCGTCGTCAGGCAGGTGGTTGCGCAGCAGCTTGTAAAGGTGAGGCGTTTCAGCGAACATCCGGATGTTGCTGAAATGAGCTTATTCGTGTCAACTTTCGGAAAGATGCATTGCTAGGACATATGAAAAAGTTGACGTTTATGCACATGACATGGTTATGACTGGTTGCGATACGGCAAAACACTTTTTACTAGTTGGAATTTGGCAAATCGCATAGATATAACGCAACAAGTGAAACAGCCACGAATTGTGCGCCTCATCTTATGTAAACTCAGATATTGATCGACTCATTCTCTATGCCACACTTTTGTTGATCGCATTTTCATAGATGTCGCTCGCAAATGAGCCAAGTTTACTTGGTTGCACGGCATCTTTTTGCGCCGCGACGGAACGGCGCCGCCCGGTGTCTCGGCTGACTCCGAGTTTTTGTTTCCCGACTTCACAATTGATGCGGCTACACTTTCAGTCGCATGGCGAATTTGTGCAACGCACCGTTGCCCTGCAAATTGTAGGACACATTGCCAGATGCCGGCGCCTAATATAACAGCCGCTTCTGTCAAAAGTGTTCATAATCTGGCGTTGAAAACAGCATCGGCGTATTGGTCAACTCATTCTCTATTCCACACTTCTGTTGATCGCATTTTCACACATGTTGCTCGCAAATGAGTCCAAGATTAGTGGGTTGCACGGCAGCTTTGCACGGCTTACGCCGAATGTTGCTCCAAGGTTAACATTGGAGCTTTGCACCAAAATCTAGACACCGGTGGGGGTTGCAGCGACACAGGAATGACGGTTTACCATGCGAAATGGTGCGGGTCACACGTATCACGTGGCATGGGCTCAATGGTGGATTTTGCTCCTCTTCCACGGGTTTGCGCGTGTCGTGTCACATCTCGGCACCCATGGCACGACTACACTCGGGATCTGGCGTACTTCGATGATGAATGGAAAAAGCGAGATGGTGTTTCACCCTTCGATACAATGTAATGCTGTATAATACAACGGCAAGTGCTACCATCGTTCAAAAGGCTGACAGTTGATGGAAGGGGCAAAATCACCTGGCCACACCCCATGACCATTCGCCCATCCCATGGAATAGGTTTTGCTGTGTTGCGGAGAGCGCGGTGAAATGCGCTCCCTCCTGCCGGCGGCCGCCAGTGACCGCCAGTACCGCGTGCGGCCTACGGCCGAGTCTATACACATAAAAAACAGATTGCTGGTGCAGGTATTGCAATAAAACCTACAAAAAAAATGTTGATGTGACTCCTCCTAGGCCCAATATTTCAAATCGGGTTTATAAAGAGGCGGTGGGATGTTTTACCATACGCAACATGCACCTCGATTTAGCACACGCCGTTTGCGGGAACTTCTTCGAGAGGTGAAGGATGGAACTGGAGTGGATCTCACGGGCGATTAGGTTCCTCTACTTTTAGGGTGATGTTGCCTTATGTAGGACATTTCTTGCAAGCTAGCACGTAGCATAAATTATGGTTCACCAGCTGACCTGTGTCTGATTCAAAATAAATCGGTTAACGGTACGTCAATCAAATTGCATTCGGATGAGTAGCATATAATAAGTTTCTTTGCTAAGAAATCCTATGCGTATCGTAAATCAAACCATTGGCCTTTCAGCGCTGGAGTAATACGCGTCACGCGGTCCTCTCAAAGGCCAAATTAATTTGTTTCCGTTTAAAAGGTCATCGGAGGAAGGAGGAAGCTACTGTCACCTCATGGTCCATTAAATAGCGTCGGGTTCGTGTTGAGTCATCACTGTGGAGCATCTCACTGGAGTTCTTCACATCAAAATAGGGCTGAGAATTCGATATCAAGTAGCCTCCACCACGGACTGTTCAGCGTGGAGAAGGCGGCCTTTGCCAAGGCTATCACTGTTCTCTCCCAGCCAATTTTCCAAACCGCCAGGTCTACACCGCGTTGCAGAGTGCAGCTGCGTGCGGTCAGCCGGGTCAAACATTTGCTTGGTTTTCACGAGTATAAAGAGGGAGCAGGCTCATGTGGAGGCATCAGTGTCTCTCTTTCAGTGTTCAGAGAGCTACCCAGACGAGAACCATGAAGCTGTGTCTGTTTCTGGCTGCGCTGGTAGCTCTGTCGGCCGCCGCCGAAGACAAGGAGGCTGACCAAGAGATCCAGGCCAGCGGGTACTCTTCCGTTTTGGCAGGACACGGCAGGTACTTTGCTGCTAGTTCTTCTCAACTTACACCTTGCCTTGGTGCATTCGCTTCGCGTATATCTCAAAATAAGATGTGGTTCGAAATCTTATCTGCTCCTTCCCGCGAACATCATCACACGGCTACCTGATTCAGCCAAAGTGCCAAATATGTCCCAAGCCTCTAGTGCCAAATCTGGAATTCCGAAGGATCGGATAAAAAGGAGCAGAACCATAACAAGTCTTTGTGGCTATTAGAATAGCTGCAACTTCTTACTTTGCGGATGATATTGCCTCAACATCATGTACACAACGTAAAATCTTAAATCGGTGCAAGGTGGAGAACATAAACGCTTTCAAAGCAAATGCTACGGCTCATTCGATTTGAGTGAGCCGTAATGAGAATGAGGTCTATCAGATGAGCCTGATAAAGTATGATGAGCATGCCACATTATTATCCGTGCATTTCAAAACCGATGTCTCTTCCACGCGGCAGGATGAATTTAAGTACCACTCAGATAAGCGCTAACGTGGAAAGTAGCGAAATAACAGCGTTAGCATAAAAAGGGCCATTTGTTTATGGAACGCGAGCCCACTCGTCTGCTTTTGGTGTTCATGGATCATGATGTCTGAAGTGATTGCCAAAATAGGGCACATGAACATGTGTTGGACAGCATCTGTATGGGCCTGTGAAATATTTCACACCGTGGCTAGTTGTCGTTCTGCATGGTGGGAACGAAACGCCGGCCTCGACGCTGTTTCCAGGTGTGGACCAGTCATGACAGAATGCTTATAACTGTTTGACCCTTCTGCCCGCCAATGGTGGTAGCCATGCACCCAGACGGCCTTGCCTTGAGCAGTGGAACATTATCAGGACAGAACTAACGCACGAATACTTGCCTCAGGAACGGCTTCCGCAGAGGTCGCAGCTTCGGCGGCTACGACAACCGGGCCCTCGGCTACAACGGCAACTACGGCCAGAGCTACAACAGCCGCTCCGGACGTGGTTACGGGCGCAGCTTGAACGGCTACGGAAACTTCGGACTGGGATATAACGGATATGGTGGCTACTACGGCAACAGTGGCCTCGGCGGCTATGGTGGATACGGTCGTTCGTCAGCAGCCTACGGAGGGTACGGACGTCGCCTCGGAGCTTACAATGGCTACAATGGGCGCTCCGGGGCCTACGGCGGCTACGGCAGGCGTTCATCCCCCTACAGCCGGTACGGCGGACGCAACGGAGCGTATGACGGGTATTATTGAAGAATATGCCCACGGCAACGGCCTGAAGCCGGTGTGTTGACTATGCACAAGTGGTGTTCCCGGGACCATTATGGCTGTCTCGATCCTGCGAATATCAAGGATGCGCCACGTCTGAAACCTCCTGTTTAATGTCGCAGTGTCTGCCGTTAGACGGACCCCGTCGAGTTCCCTCAATATTCTCTATGCTTTCTTTATCATGATTTTGTGTGTTCTGGGCGTGTCATTCTTTTGACACACTGAAACGCCGGAAACAAGAATACATCGTTTGCCAGGAATGCTTCGTTTTCTTGGATAATAATGACGGACATCGCCTGTACGGCACTGCTTATTATATTTTATTTACAAGCGTAGTAGTTGAATTAGAGGGTTCGGAAGGGTAGCTGACAAGGCATCCCCTCATGTTATTTTGCTAACAATAAGATCAACGAGAACTAATGTATTGCAGCTACAAACCACACATATGACTGCCTAATATTTCATGAAAAAACAAGTTCATGTGATCCGTAACTCACGCCCAACTCAAAAAGACAGACGACGGAGGATACAGACGGAAGGTAGGTGTTCTTCTCTGTACAGCTTGAGTACAGAAACACATCACGGAGCACAGCACCACACAGGTGTCGGTGCGGCGTCGGTGCGTCCGTTGCTGCATCATGAAGTAAGAGCGCTTCATGTAATCGGCCATCCCGTGCTACGCCAGCGCTTTTAGCATGATGATGCCCTTTTCATCCCCTACTTCGTGTTCCTGCATTTTAAGGAGGAATGCAAGTTAATGTTGGATTTATCGCTTGAGAAGCGACATCCTGCTGCCTCCAGGGGACAAAGAGAGGCCACGACGACCATCCTCACTTTCTGTCTTCTGCCAACACACATATCCGTCTCGCCGGGAGGTGAGATCCGATCCGTCTCGCCCTACACTACACAACTAATCTACTCACTTATTTTATACCCGTGACTGTGTATGACTCCGAATTTGATACGTTTAACTCAGGCTTGACGACCTGGAACGCTTAGTGCACTGTACGCAGGCGTCGATGAAATGAACACCACCTGCCAAGTAGTGGACGCAAAATGACCGCTTCCGTCGACGCACCCATTAAACCATAACACCGTTCGTCATGATTCCGTCCTTCCGTCCGTAAATGAACCATCTCCTCGCGATGAGCCTCCTCAGTATCATCAGAAAAATGTATATGTTCAAAGACATTCGAGATGTATGGCGCGTGCAGCAATGCATGCTATCAGCAGGCGATATCTCTTCTGGCAGCCGTCCTGTCAACCAGTCTTAGTGACCCCCGGGGACAAAGAATTCGATTTCAACGAAGCTGAAGCCGCAGTGAATATCAAATATGGCTGCCGGCAAATCATCCATGCGCGGCTAACAGAGTATGTCGTGTCGTCATCGAAGGGCGATGCAGGCGTGCACATCCTTCTTTACCGCTTCTCTCGCTCACAGGATCCAGTATTTCTATCGCGGGCTGTTGAGGGCGTGATCCGCCGCTGCGTGCACCAGTTTCTGGTGAGCGGCCATGATCAGCAGCCACGTCACACGGCTGCCTCTCGGCAGGATCAGGGGTTGGCGAGATTCCTCCGGCATGTCTTGGCAGACAGCCAACTCCTGGCAGAAAGCCTCGTGTTGCAGTTGGCGAACGATGACAGATCTCGCTTCTCGGAGCTCAAGCGCGGATAAGGGACTGGACTCGTTTTTGTTAGTCAGGGATTCTTATAGATAGATAGAAGATCTTATAAAACGCATCAGCAAGACGGGTTGGACTTGTATTAAATGCCAGAGTTCTGTTCTCTAAGTTTTAATGTAAATGTAACTCTACGCGTAAGATTTGCACCAACACCTGTAAACAAGAGCGCTTTGAATTTCATTTTAAAGTTGAAAGTTCTACCTCCAATCTTAATTCGAATATACCTTCATTCGTATTTTCTGGTGGCGACTGAGGCACTCACTCCAAATAAGACCCCTGTTGCGACTGTGCCATGGGCTCCCCTGTTGCTGCGATGAACACTGATCTGCCGTCTACTCCATTTACTGTGTATACTGCTGTGTTTGCTTAAGTGGTGTGGAAATATCCAGCTTTTTAAATCCATGTCATCCTTAATTTGGGCTTGCCAGCGTAGCGCCGGACGGCCTAAGCCAATCATAGCAAATATGCTGTGCGGTAAATCATATAGTAAATCCATATGAAATATAACAAGTCCAAATAAGGTAAATATGTTGCACCGGACGACCTGAGCCGATCAAAGGAAATATTTTGTGCCGGGTTCCCACGTAACCGGTTTAACGTCCCCACCTCCAGGTAGTTTCTGAAGATCGCTTGGGGATAACGCAAGAAGAACACTGGCGCACTCAAAAAGTTATCGGTGACTGGCCCTTGCCGCCCGCTGTGCCAATAATAAACGGGTTTTTAGACGTCATTTATGCTAGTAAAGGTGCCGCTTTTCGGCCCGCAAACCCGATATGTGCGTGTTAAAACAGCTCAAAAATGGGATCTCTAACACGCAACAGCGTAGGCCACGTTCCTCACGACTAGAACTTCCTGATGCAGCGAAACTTCGGCGTTTCGACATGTGCTCTGCACAAATTCACGCTGCAAGCGTCACAGAGTAAAGACCAATACCAAGCGTCTGTGGTAATCCGTTTTTAGTTTCCATTTTGTGATTGTGTCCATTTGCTTGTTGCAGGAGTGATGGCAGTTTGGTTCATTACATCTTCAGCTTTAAGTTGGTTCAGTGATTTTGGTGCTATGTGTTTTGGGCCCAAATGCGGTGTGTGAACCCCGCCGGCTGATATCCATGTATTTGGTGGGAGGAATGCCCCAAGTGCGGTGAATTTATTTAATATTTACCTTTTTTATCATTATTATTATTATATTATATATATATAACTATATATATACATAAATATAAATATATATATATGTATATATATAATCAAGTTGTATCTTTGAATAATTGTTTCAAATTTAATAATATTATTTTACCGGAAACTTAATATGTGCATCTGCAACATTTGCATGGAAGTTATTTTCTTCGGATGGCTTCCGACCACAACGCAAGCAATTCTTTGGTGCTAAATGAATGATGGCCTTTAGAAACGCGCGTCAAAAGCAGCGATTCATAGAAATATGGCGGTATTTTTCCTGCTGGTGTCCTTTCAATGTTGTGCAAAAGTGCGGGACGCAACACGCAGCTACCGCGCCAGCTCGGGGTGGAGTGACCTCCCCGCAGCGGTTCCCGTCCCTTTGCGGCCCTGATAAAAAATGTATTTCGAAATTGGTTTTAGCTCCCACGCTTTCTGAGATGTTTTGCTCACGTATGCTTGTAAGCAACCAGGCTGGTCTAAGAGAATTTTCGAGACCGTTCCACATTGCTTCACAAAAAACAACAAAATGCTACGGATAATGCACAAACACATGTCACTATAAGGATCGCGCAAAAACGAGCGTACGACGGTGACTTTTTCGCTAAAAAAATGTGCTGCAAAATTATAATCAAAGATCGGATATGTTCAGCGTGATATGTACAACGTGGATGTTGATCTTAGGTATATTGTCTTACATCACGCTGCACTTCTTTGTATGGATGCTAAGCTCATTCTTCTGCATTAAGTGGCCTGAACACTGCACTATTCAGCGCAGAGAAGCCCGTCTCCGCCGAGACTGTCGCTATGCTCTCCCAGCTTGTTTTCCAGACCGCAATGTCTACACAGCATTGCAGAGCGCAGATCAGTGCGGTTAACCCTGTCACGCATCTCCTTGGCTTGCCGCTACCGTTTCCACGAGTATAAAGAGAGAACGCGCCCATGTGGAGGCATCAGTGTCTCTCCTTCAGTGTTCACAGAGCTACCAGACGAGAACCATGAAGCTGTGTCTGTTTCTGGCTGCGCTGGTAGCTCTGTCGGCCGCCACCGAAGACAAGAATACAGACCAAGAGCCCCAGGCCAGCGGGTACTCTTCCGCCTTGGGAGGATATGGCAGGTACTTCGATGCATGTACTTTTCATCTTACGCTTCGTCAGGCTGCTCACAAATTTGAATGTGGCTCGATTTCATACAATTTTGTCGAGGATAAGGACATTTTTTGGCGTTTATTTGCACTGAGCTCGGGGCATGAACTGGTCGCCAAAATTGAACGCTGGATTATGCATTGGATAACATGTGTGAGCCAATGACATACTTCACACTCCTGACCAGTCGCAATGCTGCATGGTGTGAACGAAACACCAATCGATGATATTTTCAGTCGTGGACCCGGTAGTGAAGGAACTAGAACTAACGCACGGACACTTTTTTCCTTAGAAGCGGCGTCAGCAGACGGGCTCGCAGCTTCGGCGGCTACGACAACCTGGCCCTGTACAAAGGTAACTACGGCCAGGGCTACTACCGGCAACAGGGGGCCTCGGCGGCTATGGCGGATACGGTCGTTCGTCAGGAGCCTACGGAGGGTACGGACGTCGCTCAGGAGCCTACCACGGCTACAATCGGCGCCTTGGAGTTTACGGCGGCTACGGCAGCCGTTCTTCTCCTACAGCCGGTATGGCGGACGCAACGGAGCGCATTACGGACACTATTGAATGCCTAATGGATGGACATGGCCTGAAGTTTAGTCGCTGATTATACGCCAATGTTGTTTCCCTGACCATTCTTGCTGTTTCCATCCTGTGAAAATCAAGAATGCGTCACTGTCGGTCCCGACTGTTTTATGTCACACCTGTTTGCTTTGCGAGGAAGCTTGCCACTTTTTTCTGATTATTGCTTATGTCTTTTTGAGTGCAGTCTTTTTGTATTCTAACCTTCATTTATACGGTACCCCCAAATTGAAGGACAACCGAAATACATTATTTTACATCGTGATGCCTATTTGCTTGCCTACTTAGGGTGGACGTTGACTTCACAGCACTGTTTATGTGCTCACAAGCACAGGAGCAGGTTCAGTGATGTGTGACAAAAAAGCAACGAGTTCCGTGCCACTCTTCTTTTCGAGAATAGTGAATGTAAACTATGGGGACCCCTGAAAAGAATGGACTTGGAATTCCTCTTAGCTCCCGCACTTTTTGAGAAGTTTCTTTTCGTATGTTTTTAGATGGGACGTAGTTAAGTAAATGATGAACATTTTATTGCATGTCAGGGATATGTTGCGTGCGTTGGATATGTGCATCAAAGAATAATTATCTCTCAAAATTTTTGATGCATTCATTTTTCGAGATCATTTGTGTTTCCATTGCAAGCCTAGGCTGCCGCTGAAATATTAGAACAGTGTGC